GAAGATACAGTTCTTAATGTGTATGTTCCTAACAACAGAACATCATAATAAATGAGGCACACTGTGGATGTAACTCAGTAGTAGAACACTTGCCTAACATGTTCAAGTCCCAGGTTCAATTCCCAACACCCCACCAAACGCCAAAAGAGCCAAACACTGCTAGAACTGCAAGAACAAACAGATGAATCCACTGTGACAGTTGGAGATATTAACATTGCTGTGTCAGAAATGGACACATCCAGCAAGCAGAGAAGCAGAAAGGATATAGCTGAACTCAACAGCACCATCAATCAACTAGACATAATTGGTATCTAAAGACTATTTCATCCAACAATAACAAAATACATATTCTTCTCAAGTTTACATGAAACACTTATCAAGACAGACTACATTCTAGGAATTAAACACACACCTTAACATATTCAAAAGAATAAAAATCATACAGTGACTGCTCTCAGACCACAACAGAATTAAACTATAAATCAATAAGGGAAACATCTGTACATGTCCTATCAACATTAAAAAGATTATAATGGAATATTATTAATAACTCTATGCCCACAAATTTGATAACCTAGAAGAAATGGACCAATTCTTTAAAAGACACAATCTGCCAAAACTCACACAATAAGAAACAGGAAATGTGAGTATGCCTGAATCTATTTTGAAAATTGAATCAAGCCAGGTGGAGTAGCTCACACTTCTAATCCCAGTGGCTCAGAAGGCTGAGGCAGAAGGATCGTGAGTTCAAAGCCAGCCTCAGCAACAGCAAGGTGCTAAGCAATTCAGTGAAGGCCTGTCTCTAAATAAAATACAAAAAAGGGCTGGGGATGTGGCTTAGTGGTTGAGTGCCCCAGTACCTCCAAAATTGAATCAATAATAACCTTTCAAAACAGAAGGTACCAAGATCAGATGGATTCATTGGTGAATTCTACCAAAGTCTTTAATTCTACCAAACTTTTAATAATTTAAAGAAGAAATTTTATCAGTTCTCTACAATATCTATCTCATTATACAAGGTCTGCATTACCCTAATACCAAACAAAAACATATGAGAAAACCACAGACCCCAATATATCTTATGCACACAGAAGCAAAAATCCTCAGTATGGCTGGGACATAGCTCAGTGGTAGAGCATATGTTTGCATGCATGAAGCTCTGGGTTCAATCTCTAGCACCAAAAAACAAACAAAATAAAAAAAAATCTTCAACAAAATATTAGCAAATCAAATTCAAGAATGTGTGAAAAATATATACACCATGATAAAGTGTGCTTATATTCCAGGGTGCAAGGCTGGTTCAACATCCCAAAATTAATGTAATCCATCACATCAATAGTCTATAAAAGAAAAATCACATGTCATATCTTTAGCTACAGAAAAATTATTTGATAAAATCAAACTACTGTTACTTATTTTTTTAAATTTTAAAAAACTAGAAATAGAGGTAAAATTCAACTTGATAAAGAACGTCTTGAATACAGCTAGTATCATATTTAGTGGTGAGAAACTTGAAGTTTTCTCACTAAGATCAGGAGCATTGATGTTTCTAGATCTTACTTGAAGTCCTAGAAGATGCAATAATACAAAAAAAGGATTAAAAGGCATATAGGTTGGAAAGGAAGAAATAAAGCTATTTTATGTGGAGACAATATAGTCATTCATTTAGAAAATACAAAATAACTGACTAAAGTACTCTTGGAGTGGTCATTGCAAAGAAATCAAAGTAGTGTGGTACTAGTGAACAAATAGACAAATATATTTATGGAACAGAATAGAAAGCTCAGAAACAAACCTATGTAAATACAGCCAACTGATCTTTAGTGACGGAGCAAAGATAATACAAAGAGGAAGTCTTTTCAACAATGATACTGAAATAGCTGGACATCCAAATGAATCTAGATAAATACCTTGCACCCTTCACAAATTGTCATATAATGAGAAATGCAAATTTTTAAAACTATGAGAAAATAACAGAAAAAAAAACCTAGATTGCCTTAGGTTTAATGACTTTGTAGATATACCACTGGAGGTAAGATCCATGAAAGAAATCATTGATAAGCTGAACTTCATTAAAATTAAAGATTTTGCTGTGCAAAAGAGAATGAGATGACAAGTCACAGCCTGGTGGGAATGCTTGCAAAACTCTCATCTATGGGGGTAGGAAAGATGGTAGATGAGATAAATATCATTACCCTAGGTACATGTATGACTGTACATGTTTTGTATGACTCTACGTTACATACAACCAGAGAAATGAAAAGTTGTTCCATTTGTGTACAATGAATGGAAATGCATTCTTCTGTCATGTATAACTAATTTGAACAAATAAATTTTTTTAAAAAACTCACATCTGATAACAAAGAACTATTTTTCCAAAATATACAAAGAACTCTTAAAATTCAACAATAAGAAAACAAACAATCCAATTAAAACCTGGACAAAAGACCTAGACAGATGCCTCACTGAAGAAGATATATAGATGATAAGTAATCATATGAGAAGATGTTCAACATCATATGGTATTAGGGAATTTGAAATTAAAAAAAACAAAGAGATGCCATTACCCAATGGCCAGAACTCAAAACACTGTCAACACCGAATGCTAACAAAGATGGGGAACAACGGGAGCTCTCATTCATGTGTTGTAGGAATGAAAAATGATATCTACTTTGGAAGACAGTTTGACAGGTTTTTTATTATTTTTATTGATTTTTTTAAATAAATGACAGTGGAATGAATTACAATTCATATTACACATATACAGCACAATTTTTCATACCTCTGGTTGTATATAAAGTATGTTCACACCAATTTGTGTCTTCATATGTGCACTTTGGATAATGATGAGTTTGACAGTTTAATACAGAACTAAATATTCTCTTACCATATGATTCAGCAATCATGTTCCTCGATATTTAACCAAATGAACTAACTGAAAATTATAGTCATACAAAAAGCTAGACATAGATGTTCATGGCCACTTTATTCAAAATTGCCAAAACTTGAAAGCTAACAAGATGTACTTCAGTAAGTGAATGGATAAACTATATCACATCCAGAAAATAAAATATTATTCAATGACCAAAATAAGTGAGTTATCAAAACATTAAAGGGCATGGAAAATTAAATGCATAATACTAAGTGGAGAAAATCAATCTGAAAAGACTATATATATACTGTATGGTTGCAACTATTTGACATTCCGGAAAAGTTAAGACTATGGTAATACATCTGTAGTTTCCAGAGGTTACAAGAAAGGAAAAAATGAATAAATGGAGCACAGGGGATTTTTAAGGCAGTGAAATTATTCTGTACAATATTATAATGGCAGGTACTTGCCATTATACATTTGTCAAAATATAAAGAATGTACAATACCAAGAGTGAACCCAAATGTAAAATATGAACATTGAGTGCTAATCATGTCAATGTAGGTCCATCAGTTGTAACAATTGTACCACTCTGGCGCAGGATGTCAATAGCAGAGGAGAGTTGGGGGTGGGGTATGTGGGAACTCTCTGAATTTTTTATTTAATTTTGCTGTGAACCTAAAACTGCTCTAAAAAAATAAAGCAGAGTATTTAAAACAAAAAAACACTGCAACATTCAGAGTCAAACATGCCTGCTATGTTTGGATGTTGTTTTTCTTCCCAAAGGTTCATATTTTGGAAGTTTAATCCCCAAAGTGGCAGTGGTGGGAGGTAGTGTGGAACCTTATGAAATGAGGCCTAGTGGGAGGTACTTAGGTCAATTGGAGGGGTGCCCTTAGAAGATCATTGGATTCCATCTCTGCCACCCATGGCTTCCTGTTGCAAGCTGTGAACCTTCCTTACACATGTACCTCCATTGTGATGTGATGCAGCCAGGAGAGGCCCCATCAGAATCAAGCAGATGCTAGTGCCCTACCCTTGAATCTCCAGAGTCATAAGCTAAATACATGTCTTAATAAAGTTAGCCAGCCCCAGATATTTCATTCTAGTAATTCAAGCTGACTAATACAATGTCTGTTTAGACATTTATGTCCTTTGGTGGGAATTGTGGTGCTGGCGAACAAACTCAGGGCCTATTGTGACAGCAAGTACTTTCTAAACTGCAAACCTGATTCAGTCCTTTCTCTGCTTCACATTCCGTATTGATTCTACATTGTCAACCTATGAGACCTCCATGTTCATTCTCCAAATTTCCCTATCTCCACAGCCCTCTTACCACCCCCTGATCCAGCCACCCACAGATCCCCAGATAGTTCTGTGTCATGCAGCCTTTGTACTGCCTTTTCTACCAGGATAGCCCTCTTCGATGTACTCCAGTCCTCCCAGTTCTGTAGAAACTCACTACATCTTTCAAAATCCAGTTTAAAGTAACTTCAATTGTAGAAGCTTTCCCTGACCCATCCATACAGAATTGATCACTCCCTCACCAACCCACTTATTCCCACTAACATGGTATGGCACCTTACACTTGATTATGCTAACATGTTCATCTATCTAACTTTCCTAACTATGCTCTAAGCACTTTCCCCCAGATTTTTGTACTGAGGACTAAATCCAGAGGCACTTTACCACTAAGTTACACCCCCAGACATTTATATTTTGTATTTTGAGATAGGATCTTGTTAAGGTGCTTAGACTGCCCCAATTTACAATCTTCCTCACTTATCCTCTCTAGTTGTTGGGATTGCAAGTGTGTGCCACTATGCCCAGCTATACTCTGAGCCTGAGCCCTTTGTTGGAAGGAAATGGTATTTTATTCATTTATATACCAGTACTTATAAGAGTGATTAGTACAAAGTATGGTTTCTAAACTTTTATTTTATTAATTTAATGAATTGAATTAAATTGAAGGTATTGAATGGATTTACTTTTTCATGAATTAATCTCCCTCCACACACCTCTCTCTTAACACATATATATATACACACCAGGAAAGAGGAAAAGGAAAGAGGTAGTCAGAGTGGACCAGCTCTTGTTCCGTAATCAATATGGCTGTCTGTCTACTTACCATTGATGTTCTGTGGCCAGTAGCTGAGGGCAGAGGTGAGGGGCTGTTTTCCCGGTGTGAAAAATTCAAGCAGGTGCTATTCAGAGAACTGGAGCTTCCTGAGTCACTGCACAGCTGTCCTTTTTCAGACAGCAATCTGGACAGAAAGCTAATCTTGCGACTGCCTGAGCAAGATCTGTCTATCCAGACACCACTCTCTCTCACACTGCCATCACTCCCTTTGAAGTGACTGCGCATATCTGTGAGAGGTTCACCTGAGGATTCCAGGTCCTGGGATTGCTCCCATGTTCGTAATGCATATGATGGACAGTGTTGAGAGGCCACCGTTGCACCTAGCCAGGATTGGGACACTGTATTCCTTAAGCCAAAGGAGGAATGGCAAGGTTGCTGTCCTGGGTGCTGAATTCTGGCTTTGCCGTCCTGAGGACATGGGCTATGGATGTGGAGCTGTCCGTTGTGCTGATCTTTCTCAGTGCAGTCTCTTTTGCTACAGGAAGAATCTACATCAAATTGCGGGGGCTGTGGGATTTGCCAGATGGATTTAGACTTTGGAACGTTGACTTGGATGACTTTCTGTTGATTATTGGTTTGAAGTGGAGAGATTCTTTCAGGTAAGGAGGAGCAAATCGTACATGGTTGGGTCCTTGAATATTTCTTCAAATGGAATGGAGGGCCTCTCTCATTCTCAATGCTCCCACTGCTGGATTTCTCATAAAGTGCCCTCATGATTTTCCTGATGCCCAGATGAAATATTTCCAGGATATTGAGTAATAAGGAGATGGCTGCAATGCTGTGCATAAAGAGCATGAAAATGGTCTTTTCTGTGGGCCTGGATACAAAGCAATCCACTGCATTGGGGCAAGGAGGTTTAGTACATTTGTATAGGGGGCGCATTTGAAACCCATAAAGAATATATTGGCCTATCATGAACCCTACTTCCAGTACAGATCTGGTCAAAATATGTAAGACATATGTACGCAGCAGACATCCTTTCAGAGGGACTTTATAGATCCTCTTTTGCTCCTCTAACCTCTTCAGTTCTCTATCTATCCTTTGTTGCTCCTCCAAGTCAAGCTCTGGATTCTCCATTTGGACTCTAAGGTGTGACTTTCTCCTATGTCTCTCTTTCTCAAAGTCCCTGAGCCTATAAAGTGCATGGCCCATATACACCAGAGAAGGAGATGATACAAAGATGATCTGTAAAACCCAGAATCTGATCAAAGAGATAGGGAAAGCATCATCATAACAGATATTGTTGCAACCTGGCTGCTGGGTGTTGCAGGCAAATGCTGACTGTTCGTCATCCCAGACATCCTCAGCAGCCACACCAAGTACCAGCATTCGGAAAATGAAGAGAATGGTCAGCCAGATTTTCCCCACTATTGTTGAGTGGGAGTGAACTTCCTCTAAGATGCCACCCAATAAGTTCCAGTCCCCCATGGCTAGAGACTAATGTCTGAAATATACAGAAAACACTGAGGTTAATAGCACCCACAGATGTAATCTATAAAGGCATATGCTTATAAATACAGCAGCTTCCTTTTCATGTCAGCAACACTGCAAATGATTTTCCAGGTCCATGCTTGATGAAACAGAATTTTTCCAAGGAATATTGTTTTTTTGGAAAAAAAAATTTTAAAGACTCTCCACAATCTAACTCAATTTAGTTCCCATCCTCTTCTACTCTCCCACACAGCATGCCTGCCATTCCACTATACTCTGTATTCTCCATATTTGCACAATGCATTCCCATTCCACAATTTTTTCATTTTTCTATTCCTCTGAAATGCCCCATTTATTATAGATCTGATGGGATCTTAAATAAGTCTCAACTCCTCAAGAATTTTCCCAAGTTGGAGTTATTTTTCCCTTTCATAAGTTTCTACAACCTCTCATGTGGCATTGTACTTAGATGAGTTTTGCAATGTTTGTGTCTTATGTCTCCCTTCCCAAAAAGGTACATCCCTTGCAGATAGCAACTTCTTTCTGTAGCATTATAGTCTTTGCACGCACACACACACACACACACACACAAATCAATATATAATAGTGGGTTGAATGGTCTTTTTATTTTAAGATTTTGTTCCTTTACTCTATCAATGAAATAATTGCCAAAAGGAAAAGAAAAGTAGATCCTTATCATATATTATTTATGTTTTTCATGGTAGGATAAATTATAAATAATGAAAATAGAAATCAGCCAAGTAAGTCCTCAAAACTGGCTCAGATCAGGGTAGCAGTAAGGATTAGGCAGAAAGAAACAGTATGAGCAATAACATACAATTACATCCACTAAGGTATATCTGGATCATCATGTCTTCATGGAAAGTTTGCTAACTTAGAGGAAAAGTGAAAACAAACTGCTTCTTTAGCCAGCTTGGGACATAGGAAAAAAAACAAGGCATAGCTAACATGAACAAGTTACTTTATTTAGCCTGAAAAAATATATTATCTTTCAAATTTCAACATGGCTAAAATGCTTGGTAAGTTAAAGGTTTCTAAGATATAGCTGGATGCAGTGACACACACCTGTAACTCTAGCTACTTGGGAGGCTGAGACAGAAGGATTGAAAGCTCAAGGCCAGGCCGGGCAACTTAGTGAGACCTTGCCTCAAAATAAATTAAAAAGGGCTGGGGATATAGCTCAATGGTAGAGCACTTACCTAGCATGCATGAGGCCCTGAATTCAATCCCTAATACCCCTGCCAGAAAATATTTCTAAGATATATAAGACTTTTAGATATGAAAGACACAAAGGAAAAATAGGAAAATGTAATTTAGTTAAAGTAGACCATGAAACATTTTTCCACTTTAATAATTTATCCATTCAATAATATTTACTAAAATATTACTATCACCTAGGCATTGTGGCAGATGTCAGGAACTCAATAACAAGCATGATAAATCTGTGCCCAACTCTCACAGTACTTGATCACTTAGAATTCTCACTAACCTATAAAATGGAACAAGACTGAAAAGACAAAAATTAATATCAACCAGAAAAATATAAAAGGCATGGAGGCTGAGGCAGGAGGATTGCGAGTTTGAGGCAATTGAGAAAGACCCTGCCTCGAAATAAAAAATGAAAACATTTTTCATGAGAATGTAGCTCAGTGGTAGAACACCCTTGGATTCAATCCCCAGTACCAAAGAGAGAGAGAGGAAAAAAAATCCTTAGAGTTTTCCCCAAACACAAAAATAAATTCCAGATGTAAAAATATATTAAATGTGAAAAATTAAGTCAAAAGAGTATTAAAATATATTATAAAATAATATATATATTTTATAAGGATAGACTTTCTGAGCAGATCCATGCTAGAAATTATAATTGGAAAAAATACAGATTTTTACACAACAGAACTGAATGGCAAAAAGTGGAGATGTCCAGAAGGCATTTGAACCTAAAGAACAACAACAATAAAAGTAGATTTAAAAATTTTGGATTTATACCTCGTTGATTGAAGAAACAATTTCCTAAGTTTATTCTGTTCATAAAGTGTTAAGGTCTTTTCTCATAATTATTCTTCTAAAAATTTCTATCATTACCCTTTATTTTTTAAATTTCCATTAGCACTTCAAAAAATCTAGAACTTCAATTTTATATAAAAATCCTGCAATGGGAAAGCTAACTTATTTCAATTTACTTATTCTCTATTTGGCAATCCTAAACTCTAATCCTTCTTTCTGTCACTCTATTATTTGTGGAAATTTATATTTTAAAATAAAAGAAAACTGGGCCTATATGAAAAATAGAAATTAAATCTACATGTTAGTATGCAAGAGGAAGTTCCTTTAAACAAGTAGCCCTGTTTTCTAAAAAGAACTTCTTTTTTACTATTACATAACTGTAGGTCCTAGAAATATTCTCAATTTTCTTTTATTAACAAATATTAATTTACCATGTCCTACCTGAAAAGCTGGTAATTCTTTTCTGCATTTAATTTCAGTTCTTATATTTCTAGTTCAATAGGAATTTCCTAAATAATTCACATAAGCAAGACAGTCCACATATTTATTTGTCACTTACCGTAAGGTTGGTGGGGGAAATCACCATTGGACTCCAATAACCTTAAAGTTGCAACATGTATGGTTAACTAGTGGAACAACTGCTGATGGCTGCAGATATAAAGGCTCTAGTCAGGTGACTGTGGGGCCCTAGTCCAGAACAAGCACAGTAATTTTGATCAATGTACTCTAACCTAATTTTCTCCCAAGTTTCAAAATATTCTTTGATGCTTTACAATTTTTAGTATTTTTTTTAGTTGACACTAAGCTGAGACCCTTTCTGGTATATTTCAATTGGAAACCAAAAGTGAAATGAAGGAGAATTTCCCTTTCTCGTTTGTGAATGATTATGGTGATTTGAATTTTGGTGCATTTCTTTCAGTCCATTGATTGCTCTGGGAATCAATACTCGCAGATCGATGAGTCATGTCCAATTTCATAAACAACTGCCTGGAGTGAACATCTAATGTGAACAAATAATAACGAAATGACAATCAAGCCCAAATATTCTTGCAAATCATATTAAAAGAAGAAACATCTCAAAGGGGAATAATAATTTTTACAACACTGAAGGGGTGTGTGACTATCTGTAGATCATGCATTCTAGCAATATTCTATTAGGCCAAACACACAGCTCAGGAAAATATTTTTCTTTTTCAAAATAGAATCTGAAAGTCAATAGTAGCCTCAGAATCTGGGTCATATTTTTGTAGAGAAAGAATTTGAATCCCAGAAATGTCAGATTATTTGCTGAGTGTGGATAAAGACTAGTTCTCCTACTTCACAATCTGCAGCATCTTCCACTAGTCATATTACAAGTACATAATCTTACTGTCATCTTAGAAGAGTCAATAGCAAATGGCAAAGGCATATCTAGAACCCAACGGTGGTTTCAATTCTCAGCTCCTTGGCACATTTCTAAATTTTTCATTTTCCATATATAATATAAAAGTGCAAAAAATTACTGATAGTTTGTATCATCTACCTATTCTATTTTTGAACACTTAATTTTAAAGATTATAATGAAAGGTAGACACATGAGAAGGTTAAACTTACACTAGCCTCAAGTACAAGTTGATTATCAGAATTAACTAGAGGTGAAAAGATATGTATTTGGCCAGGAGCAGTGGCACACACCTGTAAACCCAGCAGTTCGGGAAGCTGAGGCAGAAGGATCCTGATTCAAAGCCAGCCTCAGCGATAATGAGGCACTAAGCAACTTAGTGAAACTCTGTCTCTAAATAAAATACAAAATAGGGCTGGAGAAGTGACTCAGTGGTCGAGTGCCCCTGAGTTAAATTCCCGGTATCCAAAAAAAAAAAAAAATGTATTTGTGGGTTTTTTAATTTCATATTAGACTTATTAGTTATTCATGATGTAGAATCTATTTTTGTTTATTTATACAAACATGGAATATATCTTATTCTAATTAGGATCCAGTCTTGTGGATGTACACAATGGTGAGAGTCACTGTGGTGTATTCATATATGTATATTGGAAAGTCATGTCAAATTCATTCCATTGTCTTTCCTATTCCTATCCTCCCTCCCTTTCCTTCATTTCCTTTTGTCTAATCAACGGAACTTATATTCTCCCCACCCTCCTTATTATGGGTTAGCATCCACATATCAGAGAAGACATTCAACCTTTGGTTTGGGGGGATTGGCTTACTCACAAAGTCATTTTTATTTATTCCTAATATTCTGTTGTGTATATATACACCACATTTTCTTTATCCATTCATCTGTTGAAGGGCACCTAGGTTTGTTCCATAGTTTAGCTTTTGTGAATTGTGCTGCTAAAAACATGGAAGTGGCTGCATCACTTTGGTATTCTGATTTTAACCCCTTTGGATATATTCTGAAGAGTGGGATAACTGGGTCAAATGGTGGTTCTATATTCCTAGGTTTCTGAAAAATCTCCATACTGCTTTTCAGAGTGGTTGGACTAAATTGCAGTCCCACCAACAATTTATCAGTGTACCCTTTTCTCCACATTAAGATGTGTATTTTCCTAGTATTGGGTACACTGTTCAAGAAAGTCCTCAAAATTTAACTATTAAATTCACTGGAAAAATAATGAATTTAATATCTTTAATGCATGTTCTTGAAGTCAAAACATTAAAATTAAATGTGGCATTTATACACAATGGAATATTACTCAGTATTAAAAAATAACAAAATCATGGCATTTGCAGGGAAATGGATGGCACTAGAGCAAATTATGCTAAGTGAAGTTAGCCAATCCCTAAAAAACAAATGCCGAATGTCTTCTCTGATATAAGGGAGGTGACTCAAAACAGAGTAGGAAGGAAGAGCATGAGAAGAAGATTACCACGAAACAAGGAAAAGAGGAGGGAGAGAAAGGAAGGGAGAAGGGGACTTGCACGGAAAACGGAAGGAGACCCTCATGGGTTCACAAAATATATATATGATGGTGTGAGGGGGAAGGGAAGAAAAGAGAGAGAGAGAGATAGATAAGTGTCACAGTAGAATGAGTAAAGAATAGTGATGGAGGGGAGGGCAGGGGAGGGGGGATAGGGAGGGCAGCAGAATACAACTGACACTAGGATTGCTGTATGTATACACATGGATGTATAACCAATGTGATCCTGCAATCTGTACATGTGGAGAAATGAGAATTCATACCCTATTTGAATCAAATGTATGATACGTCAAGATCATCCGTATTGTCTTGAGCAACTAATAAATAAATAACATTAAAATTATTCATTAATGCACAGAATAACTTGGAAAGGTATACAAGAAATTACTAATATTAGCACTCTTGAGGGAAGGTAACTGGATGACTGAGGAAGAGGTGAGATGAATATTTTTACCCAGTATCTTCTGTATAGTGAATGTATTACCTACTCAAGAAAATGGATGTTTAAACTAGAAAACAAAACAAAAGTATATATCTAATTTTTAACTAAGTAAAAATTTTATTATGAGACATAAAGTTTCCTTAAAATTTTTAATCTTCCACAGGTAAATCTGATCACTTTATTCTTGAAGACTTTCAGCAAGTGAGTGGATATCTTAAAGGCAGAGGCCCAGAGTGGGTGACACTCTCATAATGTCACAGCAATAATCCGAAATAATGTCCTGATAAGGTAAGATTGGGATTGCACTGCTTCTGGGAAGGAGGAGGAGTGAAGCAGTAAATAGACACTGATGGCTGAGGGGCACTGACATAGAGAATAAGATTTTCTTTCAAATTTCCTATTCTCATTCTACCAAAATTTATGTTGCTAATAGATCCAACATTCAAATAGCCAGGAACATTAAGGTTAGAGGGAAAAACCATTTCAGGATAAAGAAAGGCAAAAGATTCAAAAAGGTGCATTCAGGGTTCTACCAGCTCCACTGCCTTTGTGCAAGTAGTTCAGTGGCAGAGAGGGTGCTTAGCATGTGTGAGGAGGCCCTGGGTTCATTTCCTAGCATGCATGAAACAACAACAACAACACACCAGTATTTACCATGGTACTTCATTTACACCTGGTGATATAAGTTCCCTGTGGGTAAAAAATGTCGTAGGCTTTAGGTGCAGCTGTTAAAAATTTAGGATTGTGAAAACTAATATAACAAAGAGAAAATAAGCATAACAGAGATTGGCAACAGCAGGAGGGAAACGTGATCCAAAGCTCACTCGTGTCAGGTTGTTCACTAGCAATGAGATTCAGAGGAATCTACAGTGAGAAAATAAGAGACTCCAGGAGGAACTTTAGGAGCTGGGATAATCAGATTCCTACAAGAGAATTTGAAAATATTCGGATATAAGATGTGACCATGCAAAATAATAATAATCAATGATAGGAAAAAAATCTGCAGAAATCTTAAGGACTAAGACTTGTGACTTTCAAAAACTCTTAATTCAAGCAATGGTATTAGGAGTTCCAATGTATAAAACACATAAAAACAGTCACTCTGGTTGAAGCCAGACAGAGTAGAGGGCCCAAGACTTACCAACCATGCGTTCCTACTTTCTCTAACCCAGAACTCAATTGAGAAACCCAGTTTAAAATCTATTTCTAGAACAACCTGTCTATTTACTGTTAGGAAACCTTGACACAGGCAATGCCATTTGAAACATGTCCTCCATCTTAGAACAAGAATCACCTCACAGTCACTCTGACTCAGCTTGACCTAAACCCTAGACAATACTCCATCATTATGCAAAGAAAGAAAATTATTATCTGGGACTGAAATCCTGAAATACTGAAAAGCACCTGTTCAATATGGAATACTGATTGCCTCAAAGAATAGAGGTGACAACGACAAGGACTCTTTCTTCCCTGACAACCACCTAGCCACAAAAATTCCCCTCACCTCAGGCTGTAAGTACAAGACTGTCACTGGTCTTAGTCTCCACTGGGTCCCTCTTCACAGATTTGTCCTGAATAAACCCATGTTACTGTTGAGCTGCCTCTCTTCTCTCTTTATTTCTGTCATTTGGTTATTTCCTTCTATTTTGGTGACAAACCCAGGATTAGTGTTCAAGTTTCTCACCATGGGCAGCCCCTCCAGGCTTTCCCTTGACCTCCACTCAGTCTCTCTTTCTTTTCCTCTCTTACTCTCCCTCTTCTCCCTTTGGTGACTTTAGTAAGTCACATTGCTGGACTTTGCATTCACCGCAGAGGATCACCTGTTGCTTGAGTGATGCCCTTTAACTCCTCTGCATTCCTGGAATCCCTGCCATAGTTTCTCTCTCTGTGGATACTGTTCTTCTGACAAATCCCAGGGCTGGATAAGAGAAACCCCTGCCACCACTGGGTGGAAATGACTTGCTATCGCTCCTATCAATTGCCCAATATTCCATTGGTCATTCCTGGAACATCCTTAGAGAAACCATATTCTTGTGGAGATGCCCTTGGATTTTGGCTGTTCTGTCTGTCAGGGTCCTTGGGGGTCCTCCTCAATCCTTTTGTCCAACATGGCCAGACCCCACCAAAGCCTCTATAAGACACCCTCTTGGGGTGCCTTTCCCAAAAGA